TGTGGTCTCTTTTCTGAAAACATCAGGGAGCTTTGTCAGTAAGAGCCCAGCATGCTGATATACTTTGCATGTGACATGAATAAATTAAACATTTGTACTCTGATCATTTTTCTGGTTTATTCTCGGGCGGCCAACAAAAGAATTGGGCTAACAGATATATTTATTTAAATAGTGTGTTATTCTCCAGGTATACAGGAGAGTGGAATCCTATACATCATTTGATAGTTGGACATTTAAATCCTGCTCCTAATCAGTTCTAATTTTATCCAGGGGAGCATGTATTAGGCCCATCAGTTTGTTGTAAATGACCAATATTAACACCTTGCACGATGGACGCAGAACAAAGTGTCTTAGAATCACGTATGCATAAGACTAATGCATCCTCATACAGTGAAGCTGGGAGTTTCCTTGCATAAAATAATCTGATAACACTGAACATAGATGAGAGGAAAGTAATGAAGATTTTTTTTTTTTTTTTAAACTCAGCTGGGAAGCCATCAGGTTCCGGGAAATTTCCCAAATTGCAATGAGGAGATAGCAGCTGTTATCTCCCTCTGTCAAATCTGGCCTTATTATCCTAGGTGAGTGTGGGCACCTCTGAATGATCTTGGAAATATTTAATCAACTTACTTTCATTTGGGAGGTGAAGTCCAGTTTTTCTTTAAATCCCTTCAGCTGATTGGTTAATATTTGACCAGATTTATCACCATGGACATACACTATATTGCCAAAAGTATTTGCTCACCCATCCAAATTATCGGAATCAGGTGTTCCAATCACTTCCATGGCCACAGGTGTATAAATTCAAGCACCTAGGCATGCAGACTGTTTTTACAAACATTTGTGAAAGAATGGGTCGCTCTCAGGAGCTCAGTGAATTCCAGCGTGGAACTGTGATAGGATGCCACCTGTGCAACAAATCCAGTCGTGAAATTTCCTCGCTCCTAAATATTCCACAGTCAACTGTCAGCTGTATTATAAGAAAATGGAAGTGTTTGGGAACGACAGCAACTCAGCCACGAAGTGGTAGGCCACGTAAACTGACGGAGCGGGGTCAGCGGATGCTGACGCGCATAGTGCGAAGAGGTCGCCAACTTTCTGCAGAGTCAATCACTACAGACCTCCAAACTTCATGTGGCCTTCAGATTAGCTCAAGAACAGTGCGCAGAGAGCTTCATGGAATGGGTTTCCATGGTCGAGCAGCTGCATCCAAGCCATACATCACCAAGTGCAATGCAAAGCGTCGGATGCGGTGGTGTAAAGCACGCCGCCACTGGACTCTAGAGCAGTGGAGACGCGTTCTCTGGAGTGACGAATCGCGCTTCTCCATCTGGCAATCTGATGGACGGGTCTGGGTTTGGCGGTTGCCAGGAGAACGGTACTTGTCTGACTGCATTGTGCCAAGTGTAAAGTTTGGTGGAGGGGGGATTATGGTGTGGGGTTGTTTTTCAGGAGCTGGGCTTGGCCCCTTAGTTCCAGTGAAAGGAACTCTGAATGCTTCAGCATACCAAGACATTTTGGACAATTCCATGCTCCCAACTTTGTGGGAACAGTTTGGAGCTGGCCCCTTCCTCTTCCAACATGACTGTGCACCAGTGCACAAAGCAAGGTCCATAAAGACATGGATGACAGAGTCTGGTGTGGATGAACTTGACTGGCCTGCACAGAGTCCTGACCTCAACCCGATAGAACACCTTTGGGATGAATTAGAGCGGAGACTGAGAGCCAGGCCTTCTCGTCCAACATCAGTGTGCGACCTCACAAATGCGCTTCTGGAAGAATGGTCAAAAATTCCCATAAACACACTCCTAAACCTTGTGGACAGCCTTCCCAGAAGAGTTGAAGCTGTTCTAGCTGCAAAGGGTGGACCGACGTCATATTGAACCCTATGGATTAGGAACGGGATGTCACTTAAGCTCATATGTGAGTCAAGGCAGGTGAGCAAATACTTTTGGCAATATAGTGTAGAACAAACTTTTGCTCTGCAATAGTTGGCACTCAATTGAAAAATCTAGTTTGATGTTCCACACATTTTGTGAATTCAATTTGAAAACTCTTTTCCCAATGGATTCAGCATTGGTTTTTCATCATTAACCTGACAGAAAATTACTTTATGCTTCACTGTGACGATACATCTGCTTTCCATGTATGATTCAATTCTAACTTGGTCATAAATAGTCAAGTTAAAATCATGCATTGTCAGTGATACAGCTCCATAACTGTTTTTATTTTTTACCAGTGAGAGAGGGAAACTGGAAGCAAAATGTTTCCAGATCAGAAGTTGACTCTTCTATGGAGCACTGCACATCACATCAAAAATAGAACCGTGAGAAATCTTATACAGTCTATGTTCACACATGTGGGGGTGTATATTTGTTTACCCTTAACAACAGGAACCAGTGGACATCAAGGTGGCAGACATCCAGAGAACATTATAAATGTACCAGTTACTAATGGATGCCAAGTTTAGACAGTACTGCTCATGAAAGATCCCCAGAAGGGGATAAATGAAGATATTCTGATTTAAGCCATTTGGGTAAATTAATCTATGATTTCCTAAAAATATTATCATCAGAACTTCTGCACAACAAGCACCAACCAAGTGCAAGTGCTGCTCAGGACAAAAAAAAACATTTTAGTTATATTGTTGGCACAATGGGGAACACCGGCTGATGAATGAATGAAATAATGAATAGTGAATAAAAGAGCTTGTTTTCATATTTGAATGGCAATAAATAGCTTGTCCATCTAATTCTGATAGAGCATTCTCTTCCTTCCCTCTATATGGTTGAAATAGTAGAACCTCACTGGCTAGAAAGCTTTTAGCACTAAAATCTATGCCAGTATAATGCTAAAAGGTGCCCACAGTCGTACAGAGTCATGGCGCTTTGTTGAGGAAAACGAAAACTTTTCAATGAGGTTAGAAGCCCATTCATACAAATCAGCATGTTTGAGAGTGATCAATACACTCTGAGAAAGAACAATTGTACTAAGGCCTTCCTACCAATGAAAAACAAAGTGACCAAAGAGCGTGAGAAGAAGCTACTTTTACAAACTCAGACATTTGCTGTCAGTTAAAGACTTGAGAGCGGAGCTTATCCTTTGGGACCGTCTTCACATAAAGCACTGAACTCATTTCACTAAACAGTGGATGCACTTTACACAGTACTTACAATAAACAGCTGAGTGCATTACCACAAGACTTAACACTCATTAGACGTGGAAAGCCATTGAAGCTAAATTAGTGAACAATAATTCAAGAGCCATAGACTTACTAATACCAGGAAATATTTTAGGAGTTAAAGGGGTAATAAAAAAAAATGAACAAGTACATTAGAATATTATATGTCAAAAATTGGTGTTTTTACAGCAACAAAAAATCAAAATGGATATATAGGACCAGCAAAAAGACACAAAAACTGTTAGAGTTTTTTTTTTATTTGTTTGGATGTACTTTTCTAGGTTTAGGTTTTTCAGTGTTTTCTTTATTCTGATTTTTCGTTGATCTTACTATGTTTTCCTGCTTGTATTTGCAGTTTCCCTTGACCCCATTTGGTTTAGGCAGTGTAGAAAATTGATCGATGGATTTCCAGTTTGGTAGTATCAACAACAAAATTTAACATCATGCAGTAACAGTCCTTCTTATGGCTTGAAGTTAAATCAAATATTCCTCAAATCAATTGCTGCTTTTCAGTCTCAAACTTCCCAGAGGATACTTACTTAAGTCTGGTTATTTCTGTGAAAACAATTATCATTTTCCAGGTTTCCACAAAACTCATAGTGTCAGTAAGTGAATGTAACTGAGCGTCTTTTTGTCAGCACCAAGATGCAGTTTTACTGTATCTACATTACAATTATCCATCCATGCATTATCGTTATTACCCGGTCATTCCCTAATGGGGTTGCGGGGGGAAATGGAGCCTTTCCCACTGGTCAATGGGCGAGAGGCGGGGTACACCCTGGACGGCCATTACAACTATCTACTGTTGATAACAGGTGACATTAGCTAATCATTTCCATTAAAAGGACGTGAATCTATTCATGGTTTTAAATTTAATCACAATTTAATGTTAAAAAATTTGGACATAGCAGTGCATTACAAGTTTTTCCAATTGTGTAGAAACACTAATTAATGGAGTGCTAAAGCTAATCTGAGCTACCTATTAGAAGGGAAGAAAGTCACACTGGTTGCTGGGTTCATGGCAGAAAAGAGAGATATATTGTGATGTATGTCATTCTCTGCAAGATAATAAACCTGTATTATACAGTATATACAGTATTACATGGAGTGTACATATGGGATGATAGCATCATCTTTACAACATTGTCTTGTTGTTATGCCATATGGGTCACCAAAGCACTGATGTGAAAATAAAATGCTGAGATTGACTTGCGTTGTGCAGGTATGAGTTTGTTTGTGTGGGATCAATAAATGGACAATAGCACACAGCACAGACAAAGATATGTGTGTGTATATTGATAGTATATATTCTGTTTTTGTTGAAAATAGATTTTTTTTTAAACAATCAGATCAGAGATAATTGTTATAAATCTAGGGAAAACAGCGATTGTAATGTGGTAAAAAAAAAAATTCTCTGCATGAGCCATGCCTTCCTCCTCATCATCATACCTCATGATAGCATTTCCCACCACTTGTCTAAATTTGGACACCCTGATGAGTCTCACCCAACCCACAGTGGCCCTTTCCTCCCCTCTCTTCTACTCCCTCCCCCTCAGCCAACTAAAGCCTCTGGAAAAATAAAAAATCTTCATCCCAATCTACAATTAAAAGACAGAAATGAATCTCATTTTAAAAGGTGAAGAGAGAAAACATCGCTCTTTCGGCGGTGGTTGCCATGGATTTCTCACAAAAGCTTTTGGTAAGTGGCACATCCCATTTCTGATGTCAGCGATTGAGGGAAGGGTAAAGGGAGTGGAGGAAGGAGTTCAGAGCGAGAGATGAGGGAAAAAAGGGAAGGGGAGGAGGGAAATAGGGAGGCAGCCTGTTGCTCACGCTCATCAAATAGCCGCTTTTTACTCTACATGCCTGCTGTCTGTTCATAGATGGAGCAGAGTGAGACCAGAATATCAGCAGGAGCTGTGAAAAAAATCTTCATCATCCCTAAATCTGCATTTTCCTTATTCCTTCAGACTTCTTTAGCAAACTAACAAGAGGAACTGATAAAAAAAGGCAGTGAGTATTTTCACTTTTATTTCAATGGAAATGAATTCATGTTCATATTCTGACTATAAATCAGTCTCAGGTAAAACTTGAATCAGTTATTTAAGCAGCACAGGATGTATTTTGTCAACAGGAAACTGAAACAGCAGGCGTTGCTGAAATAATGTGTTCACTTCTATATGTGGATGTCGCTTGGTCAGTTGAAAAAAAGATTTTTTGTAAAGGTACAAGAGTCATATCAAACAAGGCTTAACTACTTAAATGGACTGCATCGTATATCATTGAACCAAATTACAGCATGTCTTTCACAGATGACAGTGATTTGCATATTGGATACGCTGCATGTACACCATGGTAACAAGGCACAAGCTACATGACAGTGTGTTATGATCTGTAAACATTTGCTGATATATCTGGGTGTCAGCGTCGAGAAGCATTCTCTCTGTCTAGCTATATGGGCAGACATACGTAGTTTAGCTTTATTACAATTGCAAAGGTATTTGATATAGCTCTTCTCAAGATAAAATGTCAAAATAAACATTGATTTAAGACTATGTTTAAAGTCTGAGAGCCTCTTCAAATCTTCAAATAGGGTATCACTGCTAATGCTATGGCTATATGAGTCAGAAAGTGATTTTCAACCACAGCACATGGTCTCACTTTTAAGATGCTTGTAGATTGTAGCCCATAATGTGATCATGAGTCCACCACACAGATGTCAGTCTATAATCAGTGCTATATGATATGTAATACATCATCATCATCTCTCACTCATCCAGGTAATTGTGACCATAATGAGATGAACTAATGACTTTTTCCTGTTCCAATAAAGCCTGTCTGATTCTCTTCCAAAAGAGCCCACATATTATTATCTGCTATTTTCAGGTGTCTTTGTGTGTAAGGTATTTGAGGTAGATTGCAGAAGGACAGTCTTTGCATTGTTTCCCAAAGGAATCTTTAAAAAAGATAAGATTAAAATATTTGTATCTGTACTTTGTAAAGTCTAATGGAATTACACAAGCCCACACTTTGCTTAACTATAAAAATCATTCTAAAATCAGCTCTCATTCTTAGATGATGCAATGTGTGTTTTTGTGATAGAAAGGTTTTAATTTCTGTTGACAACACATAACCCTTCGAGCACCAAAGAGAAAGTGAATATCCCACACACTTCTTTTTTCTCTTTTAGTCTTGCATCACTTCCATCAACCCTTCTCAAACGAAAGCCCTGTGGCAGTTTTTGTGGACCATTTATTCCATTCCATCCGTTAGTCTACTTATTTCATCACTTTGCTCTAGTTTCAAGAGTTGAGATTTAGTTTTTTCCTTTTGTCGATCTATGATCTTTGCTTGTAGCCCCTGTCATTGACCTTACAGGAGCCTTCATGTGCCCTGAAGCAATGGGACTTTGAAACACGAAAGTGATATATAGATCTACACCTGTATAAGTAACCAGCCTTAGGGACACATTCCTTGCCTATTTAAGAAATAGAAATAGTTTAGATAGGCCTGAGCAATTATGGGGGTATATGGTTGGTGCTCGGGCATGAAAAACGCACCAAAAAGATAAAAAAGTGATGTACACAGACAGTGCAGGGAACTTAATATTACACAATCTTTATATAATCGAGTTAGATGAGTACTCACAAATGGTGGGAGTGCAATCATCTACTCAGGCAAGAAAAATGTCCGGGATGAGCAGAACTTAATGCTTTTGTATATTTAAATATTAGTGATAAGTATAAAGCTGAGGTGTTGATGTGTTCAGGGACCGACTCAATATTAGGTGTGACAGATACCTGGGATTCGATGGGGAGTACTTAGGAATAATGAATGCAGTAATGCAGAATTGTGGGGATTCAAAGGGCTTGTTGTAAGCCTGTCTGATGGATAGAATGCTTTAAAGGGAAGGATAAAGGGGGGACAAGGTAGAAAATAAACTACTGACAGAAGACAACATAAGAGTAATGTCTCTCATTACCTATTATTTAGAATATTCTGTTTAACGGGGAACGTGAAATGCATTTTCAGGTTTATAAATACAGGTGAGGTATAAGATGTTGAAATCAAATGATAAATAATACAATAATCAGTTTCATAACATATTTCTCTGTAGCTCTTAAGCAGGTAGCAGCTCATTGTGATGCAGTGTTGGGGAGACCTGGAGCGATCTCTCCTTCAGTGTATATTATTAACACCCACCTCCACAGACAAAGAACCATTTTTTTGTTTACAACTATTCCTGCCGGAATTACTGGAAGAAAAGGTCTTCCAGGGTAGAAGCGCCTCGGGCATGCCTGACTGTTTCTGTGTTTAACCAGATTTCACAGATCGAAGGAGACAGCTGGGTCTTGGCAGCTCTTGTGGTCCATTTCTGGAAACACCACATACTTATAGCCCATTAGAGAACAGTGAGCTTTTAGGGCGAGCAGGAAGGGGGTTTGGTCTATCATGAAAACCATGGGACATCATATTATTTAAATGGTCTTTACGGCTGGGAGAACATGTTAGGACTCTGTTTTTAGGTAGCATCTGTCATTATCAGGCCTTTTTTTAAGAAGAGCATTTGTTTTAAGATAGCAGTCCTAAGACTAAACAGCCACTGGAAACACAACTGATGTTTGTAAGTCCATGATGTCCAGAAACATTGATAAAATTCCAACACTTCATGTGTCTGTAACTCACAGAATGAGTCAAGCGGAATTGCAAATCCCTGATTTACGGACAGATTGGTGAAATCTGTCTTTGATCACACTTCTACAAATACTGTTTACAGATCGGCAGGCACAAATGGCTATCACTAACAAATGAGCCACTCATGCATTACAGTTCCACATATGGTTATTTTGTCATTAGACATTGAGGCTGAGCAGGTTTCGTGCACACAGTAGATCTGTGTAGACCGATCTAATAAACCACGCCAACAATTACTTAACCCTTTAAGGCCTGATCCAAGAAAAATAGGAATAATTTGGATTTTTTTAGTCTGAAATCTTTCGTTGGCCCCTCAACAACACATGAAGAAAAAAAACCGAAATTATTTTGATCAAATTAGCGTGCAATAAGTCAAAAATATATTTCCGTGTAGTCTTCTACTGGCTGTTATCAGGTATATCTGAATGTGTACAACAGGGGTTTGAGCAAAGCTTTTACCACTGAATGATGCAAAAAGTCTCAGATCCAAAAGACTTCAGAAACCGTATCAATCAAATATGATACATTTGGCATTATAGGGTTAATTTCTAAAACCTTTAAGGTTTGTTTCCAACTTAATTCCGCCTGTGTCACAGAGGTTGACTAAATCACGGTCATAATCCCTGTCGGTATCGGTTGTATCAATCGTCTCCAAAGACCTTTATGGAGGGACTTATGGGAAACGCATGCACGATGAAGTCAACAACAGAGACACACAACCTCCTAGTGACTCACCAGGCAATCTGGAGAACATGCCCTGTGGCTGAGCTGTGATAACACTGGCACAGAAAGAGCCCAGACCACAGCCGATCTGCCGGGCAGAACAGCCTTCTCTGTCTTTGGTGTGTTTTTATCTCCTCGATGCCCAATGGAGAAGAGAAGAGAGGAAAAAAGAGTCTAAAAAAGAGTCTAAAAAAGAGTGATTGTGTTTTTGCAGAGAAACAAAAGCGCAATCAGTTTGAAAGCAAAGTAAGAAATCAAAAAAAGCCTTGAGGGGTTAAGTATGATTGAATCCAGTAGGAGAGCGGCGTAGGCCGCTTCCACTTTAGTGATACATTGTAGGTGTAATGATAACCTCTGCTGTATGGGGGAAGAATGTGAGAAGCAAAGGGAAAGAGGGATTTCACACTGTTTAGAAAATTTCGTTTCATTTTTCTATGTTTCAGTTTGCTAATGTGCGTGCTGTTTTTTAAACTGTATTTATACTCAATATTTGAAAAACAGATGATTGTTAATCATCTTTTTTCTCTCAATCAACAGTAGTAATGACAACTAACCTTGCCCTTCAACGTGTGGAGAATCTCATTAATATGTAATAAGATGAACTATTTTCCACAGATAATTAGAGAAAGGAGATCGGGGTGGAAGATGGGGTTGACTATAATTTGTGAAAGACAAAAGATGGCAGTGCAGGTGTCTAATAGCCATTCACTTGGCACATCCACATCCCCATTTTAGAAGCTGAGGCCTCCAATCTAACACAGCACCGGCACAATAGCACTGACAGTTTAATTTCTGACAGGCTAACTTTCCTCCCCCTAAATTACTGTAATTGATGTAATTAGTTTGGACACAGGCCACAGGTTCTTTGCTCCAGTTTAATGCTCAAACATTTTCTCTTTTTTTCTCATTTGTTCTTTCTTTACCCATTGCTCTAACTAATTCTGACTTATAATAATGTCAGTGCAAAGCACAAAATATATTTACTAACATCTGAGAGTGTGGTAACTGAATATACAATTTTTGCATAGCTCCATAGTGTAAATGGTGACAAGGATTTAAAACAACACTCCCGGTTAGTGTGTAAATATAGATAATTATTTGCACAAAACAGTTATGCCAGTGAATTATCTAACAGACAGTGTAACATTAGCATCATTATTAATTTTTTCTCAGTCTTTTTTAGATAACAGATCCTCTTGCAAATGCTTGGAGGACAAACTTGGCATGTCTTGAGGTCTGATATATCTACATTAATGACGATGTTTAGCCTCTCATGTATTAAAAGCATATTATTTTGATTTTGAAATGCATTTGTCATTATCCAATATTGAGAGGCAGCTATAAGAACCAAATAATATTGTTTTCATTATCTACTTGCCAAAAAGCTTGTGTTAAATATACTAGACTGTGATTCTGTATTCAATTTTTAAACCTGATTATGTTTGTGAATTTGGTGTCCATTGTATGTCCAGTTGTGTCTGTTAAAGTCTTCCAGAGCTCAATATGTCACCCAGTTCGGGCACTTTGTAATTCACTGTGCTGCTTCCTAAAGGTACATCGTAGCCGGACTTTCTACAACCCTGAGGTATATGTGGAAGAGAATCCTGTACTTGTGCTGATCCTAGATAAACTTTATTTCTCCCAATACCTGTTTTGCTCTGAGGATATGCTGTCGTCACACACTTTCCACTGGCAGCTTGACACACATCCTGTATCTAAGTCTACAGCTGGGCAAACTAGCTATTTCCTGGATACCTTTTCAGTCACTTGCAGCTGTAAACAAAACAACGTCCCTTGCATTTGCGCAGCCAGTCCAGTCATTTATGTAAAAATCCCCAATCTACTCTCATGTCCATGTTTCTTCTACTAAATGTTTCATATTTATGTCATTCTTCTCTATCACCTTTCAGGCATATTTTGATGAGATGATCAAGTGCCGTATCTTGTGCTGATTTTAGAGCTGAAGCATGATTGAAATCAAAGCAACAAGTGTAAAGCATTTACACCAGCTACTCTAAGTTCACAAATTAAGATATTTATATTACGTATATGTATGCCATAGAAAGAGAAATACAATACATTTCATGCTTAAAAGAAGGTGAAATAATGAACCTTGATTTTCAAGGTTCATTATTTCACCAAGAGGCTGCCGAGTTCCTGGTGAGTGCGTTCCTAGTTTGATGGTCATGCTAAGCCAATCAATGCCTACTTGTAGACATATAATCAGCACAAGAGAAGCAGTGTCGATACATTAAACTAAGGCAAAAATGTTTGTGAAGGATGTCTGCATCTCTGTAGACATGGTCAAACAGTGGTCAGCATTTGGTCTGTATCCTAATTAAATAGAAAAATAGATCAAATCAGATACAAGCATCTGATTGTACAGATTTTAATACCAATAGTCTAAGGAATAGACTGGTGCAGTTATCAGTGCAGATCAGCAGAAAGGATTTAATATTGAATTGAAACATGTAAAAAAACATAGTAAAAATGTATAAATGCTTTATTTATTCTTCATAATGCTTTATATAGCAGTAACTGAGAAGTCTACATAACTGGAAAAATTGAAATAAGATAGTAAATGTTTTAGTGACAAAAGTACTAGTAATATGTATACACATTATATCACATTCAAAATGTAAATCATTGTAATGCAATAAAGGTTTATTGAAAATTAACTAAATTTGGTTAACCTAAGTTCATGCATGAATGAAAATAAAAAAAACACTGCATTCATTTAATCAAGTAAGGGCTATTTAGCAAGGGTACATGTTTACATATGGGGAAGCATATTCCTGAACGCAAGTAATTTGAATTTGAATGCAAACTGTGTATCTTGAAGCAATTATAAACTGCCAGTGTTGTTCCATCTTAACTGTCTCATACAATTGTTGAGTCTTCTTCAATGAATTGACAGCACGGGCTTTCTTTTTTCTTTTTTAAATGATCATGTTAAAATGAGCAAGCATGAGTTTTGAGTTTGACCCTATATGTCAGACATGCAATGATAACAAATCTATTTTCCCCTTGGAAGGTGAGAACAAGCTGATGGGAGGCTGAGCACAGCGATGTTAGCAGACCACTAAAGATGACCCTGTTGGCCGGTGACGGTTCTGACTATGACTACAGCGCTCTGAGCTGTGCCTCCGACACCTCCCTCAACCCTCCGCCGCAACAAGAAGAACAAGCCCGGAAAGGCGCCTTCTACAAAAGGGCCCAGCCCGCCCCTGAGGTCAGCGCCGTTGCTGAAAACCCGCCGCTGTCCGGCGCCCGCAGGCTCCACGCCATCATCAACGTGGGCGGTCTGCGTTACCAGCTGCCCTGGACCACCTTGGAGGACTTCCCGTTGTCCCGTCTGGGCCAGCTGCACCTCTGCAGCAGCTTTGACGAGATCATGCTGATATGCGACGACTACGACGTGGCTCGAAACGAGTTCTTTTTCGACCGAAGCCCCTGTGCTTTCCGCACAATCCTCACCTTCCTGAGGGCGGGCAAGCTCCGTTCCCTTAGGGAGATGTGCGCCCTCTCCTTCAGAGAGGAGCTGCTTTACTGGGGGGTCCCCGAGGAGAACCTGGAGTGGTGCTGCCGCCGGCGTCTGCTGCAGCGCATCGAAGACTTCGAAGCGATGGAGAGGGCCGAGGAGGACGACGAGCTTTTGGAGGACCTGATGGGTTCCGAGAACAGCGGCCACAGGCATCACACGGCCGAGTCCAAACTCGGTCAGTGCATGGGCAAGCTGAGAGACATGGTGGAGAGGCCTCAGTCTGGCCTGCCCGGAAAGATCTTCGCTTGCTTGTCTGTTTTGTTTGTCACCATTACTGCCGTCAACCTCTCCATCAGTACTATGCCAGCCATGAGAGAAGAGGAGGAGGCGGTGAGTCAAAAATACATTCTTCTCATTCAAACGTTGTTTACCGAATGTCTAAGATGGAACAAAAAAACTAAATATGTATTATCTTAACTTAATCTTTTTAACATTACTTAGTAAGTGTAAAAGAAATTATCTTTTTAATGTGTTTACTTTCCAAAATGTAAGCATATGTTGAATTTGACAACAGCAAAATCCTAAAAAAGAATTATAGAAGCATTTTTACCATTCTGTTGCATTACCCTTCAATTTTAAGTACACCTAAAAGTTATTATTTGGTCACTGAGAGAGCAATGGATTCAGTTTTGCTGACCAATATGTGTCCATTGTCGCTGAATATAAGATTGTAGCATGGCACTTCGGACTTGTTTTTATCTGATTCTGCCCTTTACTATACAGTACGTCATAGATCCATCAAGTCCAAAGCTGCCAAAAAAATGACTTCTGACCCAGGGCTCTTCCAACTTAAATCATCTACAGACTCCCTGTGCACATATACTGGCATAAACACTCACAGGACTACACTCACCCTTCTTTGAGGTTGTTACCCCCCTGTTTCAAAACCAGGTCAACTACCAAAGGATACAGAGCTTGAGCATTCTATGTAGTTACTTAGCTATTTTGGATTTAGGTTTTTCTGGAAGAGGTCTCCACTTTTCTCTGAGTTTGACGGTCACAGCCCAGTATGCACTAAACTATTTAATTCTGGATCCTCTTCCATATGTCCTTGGGCAAGAACCATGGAAATCCCTTGAAAGTCTGCCAGTCAATCACATAGCTCACAAAGAGACATACATGCAAACGCACACTCCTTCATAGGGTCAAATTGGAGTAATCAATTAGCCTAACATTCATGTTTTTAGACAGTAATAAGAAGCATGTGGACAGAAACCACACAAACACAAGGAGAGCATTCAAATTCCTGAGTGAACCAGAACAAGAAACAGGACCTTTCTGGAGTTGTGACATTAATCAAAACAAACACATCCTCCTGCAGTCACTGGTCTAAAAATTAGGACGCATATTGACATCTTTTATCATTTTACATCAGGAAACATAAATTGAAGAATGCCATGTCTGATTTGTCAAGCCAAGTTGATCTTCATCCCAATAAAAGGACGGAGACTGCAGAGAAAGTCACAGTATTCACCAGTTCCTTTGTATAGTGATTAGGAAAAATATTTAAAGATGTCTCAGTATGCTTCAGTGTCTAACTTCAAACATGAATTAGTTCCCTCGTCTCTTATATCAGTCACAGAAATAAACTGTACACATTTTTCAGGTTGTAGAAAGAAATTTAAACCAGTTTTATGCATATTGATTGATTCCTAAATCTTGATATTTGAAAGTAGAAACTCAAACAAGGAAGCCCTTATTTTTTTTAACAATACATTAAGAATTCCCAAAAGTACCAGAGTAAAAATATGCCATTTTCCTATGCTCTGTTCGCATAAGGGAGCAATTAAGATAAGAAGAGGCCATGAGTGAAAGCTTTGACTGATCTGTGTGCATGATATGAATGAAGATAAATATATTGGCAACAGACTGAGTTTGGATTATGTATTGATGTCAGCATATGGATAAGAAAGCCTTCTACCAAATACTAAATTCAACAGAGTTTGAAGTGTTTATTGCTCTTTGTGAACCTCAGTGCTCTATGACATACATCCAATATCTGAAAAGACCTAACAATGTTTTTTATTCAGATAATTTCTCCATAATTAATACAAATGCAAATGTGAAAGCAAAGAGATGTTATCTGGCATTAGTTGAAGATTAAACGTCATTCCAAAAGAAAAACGGGATCTGTGATATTCTTTAGATCCAAATTTTCATAATTTTTGGTTAGCATTTAGAAGCAAATTAAGATTAAACAAAAGTTACTAAATTGATAGAGTTGTAATATCTTCTTGGTAATAAAGGTTATAAAGGCAATATATCCTAAAACTGAACCTTGTTGCACACTGCTCTTGATGTCATTTCAGTGACCTCTCAATTGCATGAGTTGTTGTTGATTAGAATTATATCACTAACCCCAAATCAACCATGCTTTGTATTCAAAATGATTAACAGGTTTAATTAAAAGTGACAATAATCACATTCTCACAGCTCTGCTATTTCTAATGTGTAGCTGCCAGACACCATCACAGCTGTTAAGTGTGAATGTTACAGGTTTAACCAGGTTTGCTTGAATTATAAAACAGCTCAGTGGCTTTTCCCTAAACATTCCCTCTAGGAACATTGTTGTAATTTATTTCATTATCTTTTACATGCCAATCTTAAATTCTATCCTAAAGATAGAAAATATTCTTTTTTAACCTGTCACTTATAACAAGGTGTATACCAAAGTCAAACTAATTGCAAGGTTTTGAGTACGAAAGACCAAATAGTAAATGGTAATTCAGATTGTTCCCTTGATAGGGGACTTATCTTGAGTAGTCTGTAAATAGTCATCACCAAGGACTGTTCTGTATTTTTCTGCATCCATTTCCCTTTCTACTAGTAGATTACTTTCCATTCCACAGATGACGGAAAATTATCCCAAAAACATTTCAAAGATTGCCAGTAGGGCAAATAATTCATCAATAAAAATTGTATAAATGATACAAAGTATTTCATGTTTTCTTTTTATAATCTTACTAAACTAAATGAAATAGAATTGAATCCATTAATCTATTTAAATCCATTGAATACATTGAAATATTAGACTATGAGATTCTAAACAATTGAAAGCATTCTATAATTACCTTTAGTTTTGGATATACACAAGACAGAGTTAATCAATTGTTGTGTATGTGAAAACAAACTGTCATTTGTAGTTAAAGGCCCAAGGCAAGTATTGGCAACAGTGAATTCATGAAGATAATTTCTGAGAGGAGACATAGTAATTATTTACATATTAGGCTTCCATTCTTTGTTTTCTCACTTTTTCATAGAACCATGTTGTATATTTAAACATGCATTACAGAAGTACGTTTAACAGTTTGGTTTCTGGGTCTCACGTTGAAATGGCTCCCTCTAGTGATTCCAGTTTGCTGTTAACCACATCTTGCTTCTTTGACAGGGTACATGCTCCAAGATGTGCTACAACATCTTCATCGTGGAAACCGTGTGTGTCGCCTGGTTCTCCCTGGAGTTCACCCTGCGCTTCATCCAAGATAGCAGCAAGCTGACTTTCCTCAGGAAACCCCTGAACTTGATCGACGTTGTGGCCATCTTGCCCTACTACATCACGCTGATGGTGGACAGCACCTCCACGGGTGAGAAGCGACTGGGTTCTGGCAGCTCCTACTTAGATAAAGTGGGCTTGGTGCTGCGTGTGCTCAGAGCTTTGCGCATCCTTTATGTCATGCGACTAGCTCGCCATTCCCTGGGCCTGCAAACTCTGGGCCTGACGGCCCGTCGATGCACGCGGGAGTTCGGACTGCTCCTCCTTTTTCTGTGCGTGGCCATCGCTCTGTATTCCCCCTTACTGTACTTGATTGAGAACGAAATGGCCACCCAACAGGAATTCACAAGCATCCCCGCCACCTACTGGTGGGCCGTCATCACCATGACAACGGTGGGCTACGGAGACATGGTGCCGAGGAGCATCCCGGGTCAGGTGGTGGCCCTGAGCAGCATCCTGAGCGGGATCCTCCTCATGGCTTTCCCGGTCACCTCTATCTTCCACACGTTCTCGCGTTCCTACGTGGAGCTGAAGCAAGAGCAGCAGAGGCTCCTGCAGAGGAGGACGCACTTCCTGCTACGCAGCCGAATGGCCGGCCTGGGCAGCAACCTCTCGCTGGAGAGCGATATACTCTTCCCCATTGGGTCATCTGAGACACGACACATGGACGACTAAGAATTTTGGGACTGGATAGTGCATGAGAGTTTTGACAAAGATACTACACGAGAAGAAGATTGGCCTGAAAAAGAAAGTGTTATAATGTTGAAATATTAAATATACAGTAAAAAAGAAAAAGACAAGCTTTGAATTATAAAGATTTACATATTCAAAGGTGATAATACATCGTATGAACTTCGGCAGAACTTAAAATTTGAAATATACAACCTCAAATGACTGCGTCATTGTTAAATAACTAAAAGTCAGAAGTATTGTATAAAAAACTAAGTGCATCCTAAAAGCTTGCAAAGGGATCAGGACAGAAACTGGCAGCCAAGTGCAGCAAACGGATTATCAGTAAGTGTGAGGTGAGCACCTCTCTCTGAGCAAAACTAGTCATTTGCTAAAGTGTGGCCTTTTTAACTACTGAGTTCACAACTCTTTAGTTGTATTAACACACTTGAAAAGGGTATTGTTACACATCAGACTAGTAAATGGTCATATGACCAAATTCAACCAATTTGGAATCCACCACTATATTGTGAAAAAGCTGGAAATGGAAACATTTAAGACAATTATCAGAAATCCAAAAAAGAGAGTGGCAGCACAGTTCAGGTTTGAAATTTTTTTCTCAGAACAAATCCACAAAACAAATGGAAAATATTCTTTGGATAGATGAAACCAAAGTGGAGATGTCTGTATACAATATATGTCGCCACATTGGTGAAAGCAAAATGCAGCATGTCACCACTTCATTTCAGCTGTCAATCAGGGTGGAGGAGTGGTAATGAAATGCACTTTTTTGTGGCCGCAGGACCTGGAAACTTTGCAATCATCAACCATGATTTCATCTAAATACCAAAGAATTTATGGAGTCAAAAATGAAGCGATCGGTCCGACAGCTGAAGATCAATTCCAATTGTTTGGGGTTTTTTACACGACATTGGTCTGAAGACCAAACTTCAACTTAATTGAAATGCCATGTTTTTTAGTTATGCTGTCCACTGCTTCTGAGTTTTGCTTAAACAACTTCACCAAACGGTTAAGGTTGCAGTTTTTTAACTTTGAGACAAGGTAAGAAGCATATTAATTTTTAGTATATCCTGTGATGCAAAATATTAGAAATGGAGGGAAGTAGTTTTTCTTTTTTTTTATACTTATTTGTAGATTGGATTAAGGGAAAGAAAATAATAGCAAGAAAGTTATGTTTATTTTTCCTTTACAAAACTCTAACTGTGTAGCCGACAACAAATAAACAAATACAATAATACAAGAGGACAAAATATAAGCATAGTGATTAATCATAATGTTACAAACTGTAAAATACTGTAAATCATATGAAAATCCTATTTAATTTAAGGCATCACAGATTAGTCTAAGCAATGTTTTTTTATTCTATTTTGTTTACTGCAATCTTCAAATTTGATGTTTCTGTACATTTCGATGAATGGGTTGATGACTGAATGCTCCCAAAATAACATTACAAAGTTGACATGCCCATATCAATTGTGCTGTTTTCATTGTTCTTTTCTTTAAGGTTATGTATGCAAAACCTCCCAATTAAAATAGCAATACTGTGACAGTGACTGTGCGTAACTGTTTGGGAATTATTTTGTATCTTTAAAGTAAATCCAAGTGGACTTCTGCTTGTCTTTCATGCTTTTATTTGAAATTAAAATTGTTTTTCACAATGTCCCAGAGGAGCCACAGTACATACGTTCACCAGGATTTACGGTGTTGTGTTGAATATTCAATTCAATTCAATTCAATTGTATTTATATAGCGCCACATCACAACAACAGTTGTCTCACAGCGCTTTCCAAACAGAGCAGGTCAGACCTAGTCTGAAGTTAATTACAGAAACCCAACAATTCCCACCATGAGCAAGCACTAGGCGACACAGGCAAGGAAAAACTTCCTTTTAACAGGCAGAAACCTTGAGCAGAACCATGGCTCAGGGTGGGCGGCCATCTGCCTCGGCCGGTTGGGGGTGAGGGGAAGGAGAGAGCAAGAGAGAGAGAGAGGGCGAGAGAGAGAGAGAGAGAGAAGGACAGAAGGAGCAGAGAGAGGCAGCCAACACAGCAACACGTAGAATAGATTAAAAATGGCAATGATATTAATGCTAATGATGAGCAGGAACATGGGGGCAGCAGGAAACTCCCAACCACAGATCCAGACTCCACAGCTCTAGGAACACCTGCAGGAAGTGATAGGAGGAGACTCCCAACCACAGATCCAGACCCCACAGCTCCAGAGCCAGGAATATCTGCAGAAAGTGTTAGGAAGAGAGAGAAGAGAGAAGGGGGACGAGAAAGCACACGACTACGGGGAAGGGAGAGAGTCCAGTTAGTAACATTGTTAATGGAATGAGGTTGCACCGGGAGGGAGAGAGAGAAAGGAAAGGGGAGCTCGGTGCATCATGATGCATCCCCCGGCAGTCTAGGCCTATAGCAGCACAACCAGGGGTGGACTTACTCTAACTATAAGCTCTATCATAAAGGAAAGTCTTAAGCCTACTCTTAAATATAGAGACGGTGTCTGCTTCCCGGACCCAAACTGGAACCTGGTTCCACAAAAGAGGACTCTGATAGCTGAACGCTCTAGCGCCCATTCTAGTTTTCAAGACTCTAGGAACTGCCAGTAACCCTTCATTCTGGGAGCGCAGTTCTCTGGTAGGGCAGTAAGGTACTAAAAGCTCTTTAAGATAAGAATATGTCTATGTAATATTTTTGAGAAATCCAGAACATCTGTTGCTTAACCCTGTAATATGAATCTAGTGGTAAAACATGCGAGCAATGCATTTGGAGCATTTTTTTGCTCAACTACAAAGCCATTGGAGCTCTTGTTTCCAGCAAGATTTGGTTTGTTTTCTTCAGGGAAGATTTTGTACTTCGTTTTGCATGCCGATATTTCATATTAAACCTACACTCTGCAAACAACTAAGCACAGCAGTAACTGTGCTCTTTTTGAGAACCATATTAAGAACACATACAACCCAAACAGCCCTGTTATCAATTTTACTTTTAGAGTTTAGTGTTTTTATTTCAACTGAACACACAACAATTTCAAACTTTCCAGTGGTTTGGTATAAATTCTAACATAATACTACCCTTTTTGCTCACACCATTTATGTAGATAGGCTGGAAAATGTACTATTTTTTTAAAGGATTCATTTCTGTCAGTTTTGTTGTAATGGAATGGATTAAAAGGGTAGCCTATCTGGGATAAGATCAGCCTTAAACATCTGCCATTTGAAAGTATTCAGATTGGAAAAAGTTTAACAAAAAAATCAAACTAAGCAAACATTTGTGTCAACTTTTGATTGTGTGTGTACTTTTCACCAGAGTAATTACGAGTATATAAAATATAAAGCATCACCTTTATCATATGTACTTGGGCCAAAACAAGGACATTTTTAAAACATAGATATGTCCAATTGTGTTATTATATTTTTGCAGCAGATGGCACTATAGTACCAACAAAGAAACCTGATCTTTCATTTCAATCGCAAAATGTAAACAACAATCCATTTCCTCTGAGCTCCATGAGAACATGGAGGTTTTTTGTGGTTACCTAGTAGGTTTGATTAAGTTTGTCAATAATCTCCGAAAAACATTATGGCCACCCTTTGGATTACTCAGATCTGTGGAGAATTTTTTAAATGATTTCAAGATGACTCTGTACAATTGAGAAACAAGTGCACGTTGGAACACGCAGCCTCAGGTGAGATACGCCAATCAAATCCAGGCTCAATTATGCATAAAACTGTCTGACCAATCAGAGCTCCGAAAAATTCCGGAGTCCCCGCCCCTCCCCGGCTATAGCGTCCCATCCCTGTGCGTTTTCATCCTGATTTAGTGTTACTGCAGACTTTTTAGACGACCGTGTGTCGCAACACGAACAATCCACGTGTTCGGTCGTCTGTCGGGTCTGTCTTCTTCTTCATTTAGCTCGTATGAATGCAAAAAAAAAAAAAATGTCTGCTCGGCTCTGGACGTTTTGCCCGTCGTGACCCCGACTTGAATGGAACCCTTCTAGCGTCTGTATTGCTCCGATCCGTCCGAGCCGCTTCCGCCTCCCCCTCACCAAGCCAAACAATCGTGGGATCCGTCAGCTGTTCGCGGTTTTGTTGACGTTTTGATGCCCACTACGCAGGCCTGATCGACCGGACAGACGACGTCAAGTGTCCGATCGCTTTCGCTTCTGGGTGAGTGACTCCAAACTTGTGACATCAGTATTGACAGAGGTTTTAAAAAAAAAAAAAAACAATTAAAGGCTATGTGCGTCAAACTGTGATAAACAAAGGTAGCCCCGTTTGGAATTTGGTATTTAAGACGCAGTAAATGTCTAGGCTGACTGTGTGAAATCACTGTTTCTGTTTACTTTGGAAATAATACTCATAATGATGGACGTTTGGAGGCTTCTTTGTGTAGCAAATTTACTTTCCCCCTACTTAAAACAAACGATAAGAACCTAATTTATCTTATTTCTTCATGTCCACGTTTTGTGGACCGCACCCCACCGCGCCTTAATTGTCTTGCCTTAAAGAAAAGCCCAACCAGACGTTGACAACAAACTTTAGCAGTAACCTTTGAATTCTTGATGTGTTGTTTTACTCTGTATCCAAAGATAAAAAAAAATAAAAAAATAAAAATGTATGGTATGATTTGTCTGGCTGACTTCCACTCAGAATCTGGCATACTTTAAAAATCTTGTCCCTTGCAATCTCCGGATTAATGTGTCTCCCTCAGTATCACGCAAATGTCCAAATATTGACTGTAATGGTGTGCAACTCTTAAAAAAAAAAAGTCTAAGTTTGCTCTGGATACCTCAAAGTAACTATGCAGTCTGGACAATACTGAGAAAAACTTTACCTGGTCTACCTTTGTGACCACACTTTATTGCTGTACATACTATATGTAGTCTTTAACTGCTGGTAGGACTACTAATCCAGCTAATTTATCACGGTGTAATTTGTGTTCTCTCAGTAAGTATCGGTATTGTGCTCTGTGCAACACGTCACTACGTTACATATTTGCCATTGTGACAGTTTGGCTGAGGCCCATGCTCTTGACTTGCACTCTGTTAACCTGCTTTGCCACTGTTACAGTCTGTTGTTTCAGCTTTTTGGTCGGTATCGAGCATAAACCCGCAGATTTTTCTCCCTCTCGCGCTAATCTCCTCTTAAATCTAAAACCTCTTTCGAGAGACATATGTAAAAGTGTTATTGGCCGAGTTGTGTGAAATGATTTGCCATTACTTTTGTCATGCATCAGACTAATCCTCTACATATTGTGCCAACGGGGCTTTGTTTTTTTCTTGGTCTTTTTTTTTATCAAAGAAGTAGGCCGTTTGGCATCAGAATGTGTATAGATATTTGACAAGTCATATGTAAATTGAGGCAAGTGACAGTTTGACTGTCACAAAACACTCTTGCATACTGATTTCTGTGTGTATATTCTCAACCAGGTTGATCTTAATTCACACTCCTAGAGTGGTTTCAAATACACAACTCTCATCTACATAAAACAACAAAAATGTCTCCTGTGATTGACAGACGCAACCAGCTAACAAGTGAGAGATCTTTCTCCGAGTGGTTTGAGATGCCGCATTGTACTTTCTAACTTGCAGATTTCAGGCTCCACAGAGGGGACCTAATGCTCCCTGGAATCCCATGAATGCTCTTCAGTGGAAGCCAAAGATGTTTATGTCAGCTTCAATGAGATTGGTGGCAAACGGCTCTTGAGGCCAGAATTCCGGCTAATTGGCAGCGTGGCTGCGGACTGGCCGCTTTGTTCCAATATACAGGAGGGGTCTGTGTGTCAGTTTTGTTGCACAAAAATTGGCATCAATGAGCTCTTTGTTTCCGCGGACATCCACTCGTAATCAGCAGCTTCCAGACGGATCACTTCCACTTTTAAATATAACCGTTGCGTACCTTTTTACAGACGTTGCAAGAGAAGCATTACGAGTGGTCTCTAAGGCCGGTATCAGAAGTCCTGCCTAAGCGTCTTTGATAGTGATGTGTAGTGTACATGCCTGCATTGAGCTGCGTTCACACAGACTTAGCATTTGCATTAAATGGATTCCAGTAGGCTGGCAGTGTGCTGAGTTCGTCATTTGATTCACAAAGCGTCCCAGTTTCTCATAGGTGAGATGAGGATTAATTGTCGTTGAGCTTTGAGGACATATTGCAAAATACTATCGAAGAAGATTATTCGTAAGAGTACCAAAAATCAAAAAAGTGCTCACATATTAAAAGGTTAAAAAATTATGATACAATGAGACTATTATAATGGAATTGCAGAGTGCATCTGCTTTGTTGCGACTAAAAACTATTATTTTTTTGCCTTTGGAATACCTAAACAAAGCACTTTCCTGATGCGAGTATAGACATTGCCTCAGTTTGCCATTGAGATTTTTGTAATATTCTCTAAAAGCAGATGGAGAGGAAAGGGTGGTATACACAAATGGGAGAAATACAGTTTGTGATGGCTTCCCGCTGACTAAGGCTTTTAATAATTTATGTTGCAGACACTACGCGTCTGTTGCCCCATCCCAGATTTGGTACTAATTAGTGTCCAGCTTCTTAAAAGGGCTTCTAGTTGAATATGGGAATACCATTGCCACCTGTATTCTTTCTCGACGTCTCCCATCGCTCTCTTCTTGTCACACTTTCTCTGTTTCAGTGGCCTAGTTTAGTTGTGCTCATCC